TACCAATCAACGGACGACACCAATCAGTCTCTTGGACGATTGTCCGCTGGAAATGTTAACGGTTACCGTTGTTTCAGCCAAGATTCGTTTCCGTTGTTTTCGTGCGACATTGAAAATTCGGAAATTGAGAATCAAGATTAAAATAAGTGGAACATAAGCAACAAAGATACCCGTTAACAAAAACGTGTATTCACCTGCGATGCAAAAACTTCTTAGATTCCTAGGCTTAACATCAATTAGTAAAACAGTGCAAAGACAACAGGATGTTAACCAAATTCCAGAAATAGCTAGAAAAACTCGTCGTTTGGTCACAATCAGTGGATACTTGAGAGGTTTTACAACATATAAATACCGATCAACAGTAATGGCGAGGAGTGTAGCCACTGAAGCGAACAGCAATGCCCAGATGGTAGAACGACTTAACTTACAAAACAGATCCTGATCACTATCAATGTTTAATATAGTTTGTATAAACTCAATGATCCATATTGGATAAAATGTTAAACACACGAGAAGATCTGCCAGTGCCAAGTTTCCTATCAAGTAAGATGTCGCTGTCATTTCTTTGCCCGGGAAAATAGTATAAATTATGACTGTAATATTTCCCAGAACTCCAATAATCATCGCAAGGAATTTAAATACAACTGAAAAGAGAAGAACATTTCTTGAAACCATGGTTGCCATTTTTGGTATAATATAAAGGTAAAGATGCTTCGAAGATGCAGCTTTAAACATGCTTCGAAGATGCAGCTGGATGTCTAGATCTGTTGAAGACAACAGAAATAGTGATAAACACTTAAGAGACAAAAAATTTGCATGCAGAGTTTGCATAATGGTCATTAACTACTTGAACTCTGTTTAAAGGGAAAAAAAATTATGAGGGTGTAAATTTGTGAGTCTGCTATAAGTCATTGTTTAATAAGTGAATATTACAAATCCTACAAGTTGATTGGTCAAATTTGACGTATTAAGCTGTTAAATTCACCTACAGGTGAACATAACAAAACCGAAGTTTACAAAATGGCGGCTAGCCGTTTTGTGGAAGTTACTGATAAAGAAATAAGCGAAATTAAAATAAACTTAGTCCCAAAAAAACACAAAAGATTTGTGTAAAAATACTAAAACAATTATACGCCTCAGTCTCGGTGATTATCGGGGAATATTCACCTCGACTTCGTTTCGGTGCCGAATATATTCTCCGATAATTACCTCGCTTTCTGCGAATCATGAGTTGTTAAATATGTTACGAGGCTTTATTTAGGTAGTGAATTGTTACAACTTTTGTAATTATTGTTACTAATGTTAATAGTCCTGCTTCAGAGTACTCTTCTCGATAGTCCACTGGAGAGTCCATTGAGTGATCATCCACTGAGAATCCACTGAGAGATCATCCACTGAGAGATCATCCACTGAGAGATCATCCACTGACTAATTTCGGTTGTGCACGCACTTTTATACTAACGGTTGAGGGATCTTTGTACACGTGATGCAGCAAGTGGTGTGATTTGTATCCAGCCAATCAACGTTGAGTTTTAAAAGTGTGGGTTGGGGTTGGTAGCTCGTTCCAGCCCTCGAATTCTGTTTATTTAAGGCGTTGTCGCACTGGCCGAGTTGGTTTGCTGTTCAATCGATCATATTAAAATATGTTTACAACTTAAAATACTTATCAAAATATCATAGTAAAAACTTCAACTTATCTCTATGTGAACCTTACTTTACCTACTAAACTAAATTTACTTACAATTTTATTGAACCAAGACTCTGATGATGTAATGTTATCATTACTCAACCGCGCGAAATATACCGAAGAATGATTGAAAGAAAGGCCCTAAGCATGCACATTTTCCATGTCAAAGAAGAACCAGCCTTGGACTTTGAATTATGTAAACACAACAGCCCACCATGCAAGGTTATCGTCCAACTTTGACAGTTTGACAAATTATTTATCTTGCCTAATGGACAGATAATTGACACTTTTATACAAGTCCGAAATGATATCTACTTTACTGCGTTTTATAGCAAAAATGCTCATTATCTCTCCATTTGACGTAACTAGTATCTATATTTACCTGGGCCTGGGGTGCGAACTGAACTATTTTTATACTATTTAGATATACTTTCGTAACAAATATTCAGTATAGAGTTCATATTGTTTTATAGATTTATGAAGTAAAATCATACACTTTTAGTCAAGAACCTGGCCGAATGACTCGTGATTGATCACTGTACGTCTTAGGATATTTTTAATTTTTATAGCCTATGACAAAATTTTCTTTTTAAGTTATTGCAAAAGAATATTGTTTACTGTTTTGCCAGGTAAAATGGACATTTCAAGAGTTTTAAGTACTGTTTAATAAACGAGCAGGAGTGTTTTATTAGGTTTAAAGCCACGAGCGCTGCGCACTCGTGGCTTTAGACCATAGAAATAATAGATATAGAATGCGTACTTGATCACGAATCATGTCTCCACTTTTTCTCATGCGTGCCCTTATAAATCCGCCATGTTCGAATTTGACTAGGAGTGCAAACTACAAAGTATAAACAAAGCTAAAACTACGTTTTCATCGTCAAAACGTTTATCTTGTTGTCTAATTTGTAGTTTGGGGATAGATTTTTAGATTTTTGAAGGCACAAACTGTCAAAGGAAATGTGCAGTTACAAAAACGGTGAAAATCGTGCAGCCTTGTAAACAAAGTATTTTCGCCGGTTTGTCGAAATTTACTCATAAAACATTTTTGCATGCTTTGAACGTTACTACTGGCACTGTTTTGCTAATATCTTATAAGATTACAAAATGATAGTTCTTTCTTCGTCGGGTTTCGTTTTTCTTTGATGTAAACGAAGGTTTTTTATTTTTTTGAAACAAAAATATTTAGTTCTCGATAAACTGTAAATTGTCTAAATAATCGTCGAAAACTATGATTTCAAAAGCGTTGCCTCAAGCTCAAGCAACACAGAAAAATATGAAAAGTAATTGTGTGAGTTTACAAAGATTACTGAACATCATTTATATTATATTATAAAAAAGTTGAAATATTTATAGAACATACCTATTGAGTTTGAGTTTGTCTTGATCTTTCGGGTTTTGTTTTGGCTTGCACAACAACGTTGAAAATTTATTTTTAAACGATGATTTCTGTATATATTCCGTTCAGAACTGTTGCTTTTCGTAAAAAAGCCCACTAGAATGGGTTTTTAGACACTTTTTTCCATTTTAAGTCTCGATATAATTTTTTTTGCAAACTTTGCATTTGAAAAACAATTTGCACTCTCTGCACCCGCGCGAAATTCCCACTGAAATTCCCTGCCGCCTGGGAGTCTGGGAACCAAAATGCCCTTATAAATCCGCCATTTTGTGGAGACAATTTTTTCACTGAGAAAAGATAGGAGTACGCATTCTATATCTATTATTTCTATGCTTTAGACCTAATAAAACACGACCTGCGAGTTATTAAACGGCTTCAAACACGACAGTCACTACAAATTTAATAGATATACTGCCTTATTAGTGTTCTTTATATAACGAATACTAATGAGGACACGACTACAATAGATACTGCTGATTAGTATTCTTTATATAAAGAATACTAATTAGTAGTGTTTATCGGGTTAAAAGCCAATGCACGTGACATATTATGGTTGATATGATTTGCCAATAAGCTTATGAATTATTAATGAGCTCGATTGTTTGAATGGTAGATATTAAGCTAGAAATTTTGTTGAATACATAGAGGATATTAGACGATTGCGAAGAGATATGGATTTTATGTTCGAGTGGCAAAAACAATATCTCACGAGTGAGCGCAGCAAACGAGTGAGATCATAGATATCTTATATACACTAGATAGCGCATCTCTTTTAGTAAAATTGAAGCCAAGAATATTTCAGCGGTTACCCCATTTGAATAGATGGCGGCCATGTTGGTCGTTCCCACTCGCTAATAAACGCTTAAAAACAACAATAACTTTCATCATTTGAATATTTTTAAACTGTATTTGGAATAGGGTTAACTTAATATTTAAGTTCCCTGTTTACGAAATAGGAAATATACGTGAATCTTGTCTCATTTTATGGGAACGACCTGACACTGCAATCACGGCTTCAATTTTTGAATTGCAGAATAGACGACCTGGAGAAGTTCCAGTCGACAAGTCTGTATGTGTAGTTGAAGGGGGGGGGTGCAGGCCAAAAATTTCCGAATGACGAAAATAATTTCCGAATATATCATGGCATACTAAGCCACGAAGATGTTTGCTGTTCGGAAAATGAAGACGCAATTTACAAACAAAAATACGCATATTTTACGCACAGACATATTACAGAAGCAGTGCGGTAGGGAGCTTTTGTTTATTGGGGGCAGAAAGCGAGGGCCGGAGAGCCGAGGAAATTTTTAAATTTCGAAATGCCATTTCATAGAAATGTCTTTGAAATGCCGAAAACAGAAAAAAGCGTTTATAGTCACAATACAATTTTATAATATTTTCTCTGTTTAACAACTAAAATTTTGTTCTACTATTGTTGCCATAATTTTCCGATTGGCCAACACGATTTTCTGAATATGTTGATTCTAAAAAAGTTGGAGGGTTAACCCCCCCCCCCAATACCTCCCTCGCTACAGCCCTGTCTGTATCACTGCAGCTACCTACAGCATATATATGCATGGTTTAACTAATAAGTATACGTCATAGGGGAGCAGCTCAGGCCATGCTTAACTAGGACTCTGAGACAACTGAGTCGACCACCGAAGGCGCGAGCCTCTAGAAGGGTCTGGTGGCATGCCCCCCCCCCAAAAAAATTTTGGATTTTTTGAAGCTCAGATGAGCTATTTCCAGCATTTTGAGGAGTTTTCCAACAAGAAATTAACCTTACACTAGTCCCTGAAAATCAAACCAGCTGATCTTCTCGGACTGGTCAAATCGATCCCTGCACCAAATACTGGGGCAGGATATTTTTTTCCCAGTTTGTTAGTGCAGGTATTTTTTTGTTGTTCAGAATAGCCTTGCAGGAATTTTTTTTCAAAATCCCCCCCCCCCCTCAAAAGTTAAATGGTCGGCCCCTTAGTAAAACATGGACTCTTGGTAGGCATGATGTGCTATTCCATTGAATGATTCAGACCAATTTTTTCCTGAAACATTTAAACATTTTTTCATTGTGTTATATTTTAAGCTGCCGTATTTCTTGAGTCTGTGAGGGGCATGATATTTTTGAAAGTGTCGCGTATCGATTTATTCCACGAGGAACTTCCTAATTATGTACGTTTCTCTGATGACCCCATCTCCCCCCCCCACCTTACAAACCTAACACGAAATTGAATAGAGGTCGGTTGTACAAAGGCGTTTGGCTTAAAGGGTGTATAGGCAAAAAATTAAAAACATTCCTTCTCAATATACATATATTGTAAGTACTTGAACTTAATTTTATCAACTAAATGAGTAGTTTTATGCATTATTATTATGTTTAGACAGAAAAGAAAAGTTTAGTTTGTTGTACTCAATAGTTCATAGATTTGTTTAATTTATACAACCGACTCCAGATCTATTTATCGGCCGTTGTTCGCACGCGAACAAAAATGTAAATGTTTCATATTTAACTATTGGCAAACGGTTGCCGGTGGTCAGAATGTCTGACACTATCAATCCAAAATTCGTAAATTAGTATTGCAGGAAACATGCCGATTGTCGGAG